TCGTGAAGTTCTCGTGTTGTGTTTTTCAGCTCCATCAGTTCACTTATATTCCTCTCTAAGTTGTCCATTCTCGTTAGCATTTTGTCAAACCTTTTTTCAATGTTCTTAGTTTCTTTGCATTGGGTTAGAACATGTTTTTTTTAGCTCACAGAAGTTTCTTATTACTCACCTTCTGAAGCCTGATTCTGTCATTTCATCACACTCATTCTCTATCCAGCCTTGTTTCCTTGCTGGTGAGGAGTTGTGATTGATTGTAGGAGGAGAGGTGTTCTGGTTTCGGGTGTTTTCATCTTTTTTGTGCTGGTTTCTTCCCATCTTTGTGGATTTATCCACCTGTCGTCTTTGTACTTGCTGACTTTCAGACTGGGTCTCTGAGTGGACGCCAGTTTGTTGATGATGAAGTTATTTCTGTTTCTTAGTTTTCCTTCTAATAGTCTGGCCCCTCTGCTGTAGGACTGCTGAGGTCTACTCCAGGCCCTGCTTGCCTGGGGATCACCTGCAGCAACTGCAGAACAGTAAGGGTTGCTATCAGTTTCTTCTTCTGCTATCTTTGCCCCGGAAGGATACCTGCCAAATGTGAGTCTAATCTCTCCTTTATGAGGTGACTCTGGATATACGCGGGTCAGAGAGCTGCTTGAGGAGACAGTCTGTCCTTTATAGGAGCTCAAGTGCTGAGCTGTGAGCTCCGTTGTTCATTCAGAGCTGCTGGGCAGGTACGTTTAGGTCTGCTGCAGCAGAACTCATAAACTCCTTTTTTTCCCCTAGGTGCTCTGTCCCAGGAGTTAGGGCTTTATTTATGAGTTTCCGTTGTACTGCTGCCTTTTTATCAGGGCTGCCCTGCCCAGCAAGGAGGCAGCCTGTCACTGTCTGGCTGCAGAGGCTTTGCTGAGCTGCTGTGGGCTCCGCCCAGCTGCCATGTGAACTTCCCTGTAGTCCTGTTTATATGGCTGTAGTCAGAACTGCCTCGGCAACGGTGGCTCACCTCTGTAATGGCACACTCTCTGTAATGGCAGGTTGCGCCTCAGCAGCAGCGGGTTGCTTTGGCAACGGCGGGCTGCCTCAGCAATGGTGGACTACCTCCATAGTGGTGGAGTGCCTCAGTATGGCGGAGGCCCCTCCTCCACAGGGCTGGACCGTCCCGGGTTCAGCTGTGCTTGCTGCGAAACTCTCAACCCAGAGCGTTTCCAATTGCTGTGTTTTTTTTTGTTGGGGTGGGACCAGCCGAGCCTGATCACCTGGCTCCCTGCCTCAGAGCCTTTTTTTTTTTAATTGAACGGTTGACTCTCTCCCAGGTGTTCCAGTCGCCTGTTGAAAAGGCGCCGGGATCTGTGTGATTTCCCCTGCGGTGACTCACTACGCTGGCTGAAACAGCAGTGCTGAGATTTGTGGTGCTTTTTTTGCCCGGGAATCTCCTGACCTGGCTCCCTGTTTCAGTCCCCTTTTTAATCAGATGAATGGGCAACTCTGCCTACCGGGGGCTCCAATCGCCAGCTAAAAGGGCACCCAGACCAGTGTATTTTGTATGGAGAACCGCCACACTGGGGTGCCGGCAAAGCAGCCGCGCCGGCCTAAACAGCCGTGCTGGCGACCCATGGGGCTCCTCCGCCTGGGAATCTCCTGGTCTGTGGGCAACAAAAATCCATCTGGAAATGCGGCATCCACTTGCCCTCTGCGCTTTCACTGGGAGCTGCAATCCTGAGCTATTCCTAATTGGCCATCTTCTAATTTTTGTATTTTTAGTGGAGATAGGGTTTCACCATGTTGGCCAGGCTGGTCTTGAACTCCCAACCTCAGGTGATCTGCCCGCATCAGCCTCCCAACGTGCCAGGATTAAAAGTGTGAGCCATCATGCCAGGCCCCTAGCTTACTTTTTTTTTTCTTAACATCTCCTTGAATTATCTAGCTCACTTTTTTTCTCTTACTACCATGATTACATTCACTGCAGAAAATTTGACAAGCCGAGAAATTACAAAAAGCAGAAAATAAAACTTTATATTCTTTTTTTTTTTGAGACGGAGTTTCACTCTTGTTTCCCAGGCTGGAGTGCAATGGCACAATCTCGACTCACTGCAACCTCTGCTTCCCAGGTTCAAGCAATTCTCCTGCCTCAGCCTCCCGAGTAGCTGGATTACAGGCATGCACCACAATGCCTGGCTAATTTTGTATTTTTAGTAGAGATAGGGTTTCTCCATCTTGGTCAGGCTGGTCTCGAACTCCTGACGTCAGATGATTCGCACACCTCGGCCTCCCAAAGTGCTGGGATTACAGGCATGAGCCACAGCACCTGGCCAAAATTTCATATTATCTTACCACACATCAATCCATTAATACTTTTTGGTGCATTTTCTTCCAGTCCTTTCCTATGGCTATGACATACTTTATGTGAACCTATATTCTAACTTTTTTGGTTAACATTATAATGTATGTAAACCATGTATCATTATAAAGCTTTTCATAAACTTAACTTTAATGGCTGTATAAAATTCCATTATAAGCAGTATCTTAGACTTGCTTTTAATTGATGACATACTGCCCCCATTTGTGATTTTTCAGGTATTGTAAGTACAAAGTAGGCTTTATACAACCTATATCTAAAGCTGACAGAAGTTCCAGAAAAACTAACATAAGGCCCAGAATACTGTCTGGTTGTTTGACACAGCAGTAATAGCTGTGACCCAGATAGTGCCTCAAAGATGTTGACGTTAATCCTCTGCATACTTACTGCAAATCTGCTGAGGATGTAAGCTCCAGCTCCAACTCCAATTCCAATGATACTTTTCAGGCTGTGAATGACACATAAGGACAACTGACAGAGTCAACTTCATTTGGAGGCAGCACTGCTTAACTGAAAGCATACAAACCTGGGTTGAAATCCTGGCTCTGATATTCATTAGATGTAAGAATTTGGGCAAGTTTTTTTCTTTCCCCTAACTATCTGAGCTTCAGTTCATTATCTGTAAAGCAAGGATCCCAGACAGGTGTGGTGGCTCACACCTAAATCCCAGCACTTTGGGAGGCCAAGGCAGGTGGATCACAAGGTCTGGAGATCGAGACCATCATGGCCAACATGGTGAAACCCCATCTCTACTAAAATACAAAAAATCAGCCAGGTGTGGTGAGGCGTGCCAGTAGTCCCAGCTATGCGGGAGGCTGAGGCAGGGGAATCACTTGAACTTGGGAGGCAGAGGTTGCAGTGAGCCGAGATCATGCCACTGATCTCAAGCCTGGTGACAGAGTGAGAATCTGCCTTCAAAAAACAAACAAAAAAAGAAAAAAACCAAGAAGAATCCCACCACCTACTTTCAAGTTGGTTTTAATGGTTAAATAAAATATAACTGAGGCCAGGCATGGTGGCTCATGCCTGTAATCCCAGGACTTCAGGACGCCACGGCAGGCGGATCACTGAAGGTCAGGAATTTGGGACCAGCCTAGCCAATGTGGTGAAACCCCATCTCTACTAAAAATACACACAAAAAAAAATTAGCCAGGTATGGTGGGCTGCACCTGTAATCCCAGCTAAACAAGAGGCTGAGGCAGGAGAATTGTTTGAACCTGGGAGTCAAAGGTTGCAGTGAGCCAAGATCATGCCATTGCACTCCAGCCTAGGCAGCAGAGTAAGACTCTCTCTCAAAACAAAACAAAACAAAACTATATATATATATACACACACATACATACATATGTGACTGAAACCTGAGTTATTCTCGGCAGCTTACTGTCAGTATCCAACCCATCAGCAAGTCAGTGGAGAATATATCCATCTATCTACTAGCATCTACTTCAATCATCCCCCAACAGCATCTAGTACTATGCTATTATTATCTCTTGCCCAGACTATTGTTAATAGTTTAACTGTTCTCCCTGCTTTCTCTTACTCCTCTCCAAACCATTCTCTTCACAGTGAGATGAACCCTTTTAAAATTTTTTAAATAGCTTTATTTTTATTTTTTAGATACAGGGTGTCACTGTTACTCAGGCTGAAGTACAATGGTGGGAACACAGCTCACCGTAGCCTCAAACTCCTGGTGTTAAGTGATCTTCCTGCCACTGGGCCCAGCTCAAGTAGCTTTTTATAATCTTCTAGGTTTCAGCGTATGTGCCACCTTCCTAAAGGAGAATTCCCTAATTAGCCTTACTGAGGTAGATTCCACCCTTATTCTCTATCACAACACCCCCACTGACTTATAGAACTTAATTATTTGTCTGCTTACTTGTTACCCCACTAAGCTCTAGGAGGAGAGTGACTACTGTTTTGCTAACCATCGTATCCTCTGAAACAGACACTAAAGAATTCACCATAGAAAGTCAATACAAACTGCATGGAAGACTGCAGAATGAACCTACCTTAAGTGGGTAAGAACAGGAGGCAGCATTTCAGCCAGCTCATCCATTGTGGGGTACTGATACCTGAAATCCAGAAGCATATCTCCTGAATTAGAAAGCACTCACAATTTCCAGTTACGACAACAGCTGGAAAGGTACAGAAGGCTTAGATAAAAGGCCAAGTGTGGTGCCTCATGCCTGTAATCCCAGTACTTTGGGAGGCCAAGGCGGACGGATCACCTGAGGTTGGGAGTTCGAGACCAGCCTGACCAACATAGAGAAACTCCATCACTACTATAAATACAAAATTAGCTAGGTGTGGTGGTGCATGCCTGTAATCCTAGCTACTTGGGAGGCTGAGGCAGGAGAATTGCTTGAACCCAGAAAGCAGAGGTTGCAGTAAGCCAAGATCGCACTACTGCACTCCAGCCTGGGCAACAAGAATGAAACTCTGTCTCAAAAAAAAAAAAAAAAAAAAAAAAAAAAAATTAAAAAAAAAAAAAAAAAAAAAAAAAAAAAAAGAAGTCTTAAATAAAAGCATTTCCTTTTACCAAAGGCTCAAAGGAGGTGATGTGGTACCTGAAAATGATTGTGGTACATTGTGTAACTCTCTACAACTGCCATACTAAAGAAAAAATAAAAGAACCCAGTTTCTATATCCTAATGAGCAGCCCTTGAGACCAGAGGGTGCCACATGAAAAGAACTAGTAATATGGTTCTCTCTTAGGGTATTTCCAAACCTCTAATAATCTCTTCAGTTGGAGTCGACTCAGTAAACCTCCAGTAGTAAGAGTCAACTCAGGAAGTGGCTCTTGGTCTACTGCTTATATTTAGGAAACTAAATGCAAAAATAAACATAGCTTTTCTAGGTATAGGCATACAGTTAGGAATCCTTGGCATGAATGCTTATTTGTTTCACTTAGGCATAAAATAACAGTTATTTTTTTAAATTTATTATTATTATTTTTTGAGACGGGTCTTGCTCTGTTGCCAGGCTGGAATGCAGTGACGTTGATATCAGCTCACTGCAACCTCCACCTCCTGGGTTCAAGCAATTCTCCTGCCTCAGCCTCCTGAGTAGCTGGGATTACAAGCACATGCCACCAAGCCCAGCTAATTTTTATATTTTTAGTAGAGATAGGGTATCACCAGGATGGTCTTGATCTCCTGACCCTGTGATCCGCCAGCTTCAGCCTTCCAAAATGCTGGGATTACAAGCGTGAGCCACCGCACCTGGCCAGATTTATTATTATTAATAATTCCAGGCTGGAGAGCAGTGGTGCATTCATAGCTCACTGTAACACTGAACTCCTGGGCTCAAGCTATCCTCCTGCCTCAGTATCCAGAGTAGTAGCTAGGACTACAGGTGCATGCCACCATGCCTGGCTAATTTTTTGATTTTTTGCAGAGATGGAGTCTCGCTATGTTGCCAGGACTGGTCTTGGACTCCTGGCCTCAGGTGATCCTCCTTTCTCGGCCTAACAAAGTGCTAGAACTATAGGTGTGAGCCACTGTGTCTGGCATGGTTATTTTATTAATTGTTTTTGAATTTCATTCATAATATGAACCATCTGATCCCAAGATGTTTGAGCAAGCCCAGATCAGAAATCCTAGAAACGTAGTAAGCAGCTGTGAGCGTTGGTTCATGCCTGTAAATCCCAGCACTTTGGGAGGCTAAGGCAGGCAGATTGCTCGAGCCCAGGAGATTGAGAACACCCTGGGCAACAGAGCAAAAGTCTGTCTCTACAAAAAATACAAAACTTAGCCAGGCATGTTGGCACATACTTGTAGGGAGGCTGACATGGGAGGATCACTTGAGCCCAGGAGGTTGAGCCCATGCAGTGAGCCATGATCACGCTACTGTACTCTAGCCTGGGAAGCAGAGCAATACCCTATCTCAAAAAAAA